GAGATAAAGTGGAGAAGACATAGACTGTGCGAACTTGGAGAGATTAAGTTTTAATTTATTGTTTTTTTTTTATTAACTGGGTTTGTAAAGTGGGATTTGTGTTTATTTGAACAGCATTCCAGTAGAATTTAGACCAGTTAGAGAATAGTTAGTAGTCTTGGGGGGGAATTGTCGCTTTGTTAGTAATTCTGTTAATTTGTTCATTGTTAGGGTTAAATAAATAAATTGTTTCCTATTATTTGTAACGTGGAGATCAGCAATTGTCTTTTAACAACTTTTAACAACTTTTAACAGATTACGAGGGGAAAGGCCAGCTTCTCTGGGTGTCTTCGGGTAATTATTAGAGTTGAACCCCTACTCCCGGTCGTAACAGATTGGGGCTTGTGTTTTAGTTTAATTATCAGAGGGGTTTTGCTATTCCCCCTCCGTAACACTTGTTCTGAAATTTCACAAGATCTGACATTTTTTTATCAGTCTGTCTCAACCTGAATTGGAAGTGGAAACTCACCTTATTTGTACATGTTGTGTAGCAAATTAGAAATGTCAGTTTGGTGTAATGTGTCACAGCCTTCTGAGGAAAAGGGCACATTGTTGAGGTCGAGTAGAATGTGTTTTAATCTGCATTTAACAATCTTTCTCATATGGAAATGATTGATTCTAATGCTGGACGACCAAAGAAATTAAAAAGATTCCGTTTCTCATTGCTTTCCTTCATCATCTTTAATGTGCATAAACTTAATCAAAAGAAATAAACTTGTGTAGTGCCTTTCATGCCCATTAGGAATCCTAAAGTGCTTTACAGCCAATGAAATGCTTTTGGATTGTAGCTACTTGCTTTGGAGTCTTGACCACCAACTTCCACATAAGATTCCACAAACACCTCTCCGACAATGTTAGTAAAACTGATAATCTGACTATTAATTCAAAGATGAAATCAAAACAGCACATTGCTTTTCAAAATAGTATTTTGAAAATAAGATAAAGAGGTCTCACCTCTTATCTGAGTTACACTACTATGAAAATTTTCACATGTTAGAGACAAAACATTTAATCGAGTTACCAGTCTGGAAATGATAACCTCTGGAGGCACAGAATATACAAAACAACTTCTATTTCCTAGAGGTTTTTAGACAGACCAAGAGGTATGGAATTAATGCAGAACTGAACACCAGCTAAGAATGTTCTTTATCTTTCCCAAGAAGGAAAGAGCCTGTCAACAGCACTGGCTGGAAAAAAAAGTATCAGAGAACTGAAAACTTTAAAAATAACTGCAAAATTCACAAATGCTCACTGCATGGAAGAAACCAACTCATCTCATGTCAAAACCTCACACAAAAAGGACACCCAAGCTGTATGTTCTTTTAACTTCCTTTGTACTGACCACAATCCCTTTTTAACTCTCTTACCTGTGTGTGGTTGGTGTATGTGTGTGGACCAAATGACTGCACAAAGACAGCATATTTGATGTCACATCTTTATTAATGTTATTGGCACCAGCAGGTATTAAATTTGTTCTTTCTTTAATTCAAAAATAACTTGAGAGTAACTCCTTACAGGAAAAGTAGTTAACTTGTGATGAATTCCTCTGTTTGTATTGATATTTTGTACTGAGCAAGCTAAGGATCCATGATTGGTAACATTTATGGAAAAGATAGTTCCAAGAGTTGTGAGGTGCCAATGTTCCAATCTGCTCAGTAATAGAAGAAGGACATTTTTCAGGGTTTTCAATAGCTTAGTTAGGACAGTTCAGTGGTCACTGAAGAAGAGTTTAAAAGATGACAGGCAGGGAGAGCGAGAAGGAGAAAGAGACAACCAGAGATATTTGTAGATGGTTGGAATACTGCAGTTAGCTATACTGCTCAGAAGGCAGCTGAACTACACAGATCCTGTTTACGGCACTCAGTGAGAAATCGAGAGCCATCAAATGGCTCTATTCCAGAAGAACTTAGGAAGACAAGAACACGGACAAGTTGTTGAGGCAGTCTGAGATTTGTCTGAGTTCTTCTTTTTCTTGTTATACAACCACAGCTTGCAGCTGGGCCTTCAAAAAGTTCTGAAAAAATTTCCTTGATCTGTCCCAGGCTTATTTTCTTTCCATTTGATTTCCACTGATTGCCGTTGAACATTGTTGAGCACTTTAAACGGAAATCAATGGTTGCAATTGATGTGCTTGGAACACTATGATTTTATTTCACATTCATTGATTGCAGTGGATCATTACAAAATGTCAAATGTTGACTGAATGAACTTTGTGTATCACAGATCATCGCAAATGAGTGATCAAATCTGTTGAATGCAGAATTATGTCAGCGTTAAACATTAAACAAAAATCCAAAGAAGAAAGGTTCTGAAGAAGGATCACCGGACCTGAAATGTCTTTCCACAAACCTGCAGAGTTTTTCCAGCAATTTCTGATTTTTGTTTCTTATTATGCCATCATTATCTGGTAGTGTGGGCGGATCATTTCGTAACTTGGCAGTCTAGACTGGGATTGTAAAAAACTGCATTTTAAGATTGTCTCTTGACAACACCCCCAAAAGGTTTGCATTGCATGTGTGGAAAGTTGTGTGCATGCACACTTCTGAAATGCTGTGCAAAAAAAAATGTGACGGTGCCTAAATAGCACAATAAATAAGAGCAAACTGATTGGAATGATGTTGCTAATAGTACTGGCAGGGGTAGTGCACATACACATTTTGGACATGTGTACTGAAATCATTTTCAGATGTCAGCAGATATTCTCACATTTTAATTGGAAAGAGTTATAGCCTTGTGCTAAAGAAAAGTTAAACCTTTGTTGTGACCAAGTAAGTGAAAAAAATCACAGAATCATGGCTATGTTACGACACAGAAGACGACCATTTGGCCCGTCATGTTTGCACCGTCCTTCAAATGAGTATCTTTATTCAGTGTCAAGTTCCTTCTTTTCCTCATATCCTTACACATTATTTCAATCCAAAAATCATCCAATCCTCTCAAGTCCCTCAATTTTCCACCGAATTCCCAGGCAATGCATTTCAAACCCTCACTGTTTGTTGTGTGAAAATGTTTTTTCTCACTTCGCATTTGCTTCTTTTACAAATTAAAGCTATGTCCTCTGGTTCTTGTTCCTTTTACAAGTGTGAAATGTTTCTCCCTATCTACTGTATCCAGCTCCTTCATGAGTTTGAAAACCTCAATAAGATCTCCTCTTACCCTTCTCCCCAAGGACAGCAGTCCTAACTTCTTTATTCTATCCTTATAAGTGAAATTTTTCATCCCTTCAACCATTCCTGTAAACTGTTCTGCACTTTTTGCAATGCGTTCACATTTTTCCTATAATGTGGTGCCCAGAACTACATGCAATACTTCATCTGAATTTAATAAATGTATAACTAAAGAGCGGGTAACTGGTTCATTCCTTCTCACCTGTCATACCATAATAAAGGAGAAGCTATGAATGAAGACATGAAGGGAAAATTTAAATGTAAGAAAATGTCTAGCTACATGGATATTACAAGGGAGTATAGAAATGAATGAGAAAAGAAGTCAAAAAAGATTAATTAGGCAAATAAAATTAGGTTGTCAAGGAACATAAATAAAAATATTAAATATTCTACATTAATATATAATTATCCATAAATAAAAAATGTATTTGGAATAATGTGAGCAGTTTCCCAAATCTAAGGAAGGATGTGCTGGCATTAGAGAGGGTCCAAAGGGGGTTTACAAACATGATCTCAGGGATGAAGGGTTTGTCAAGGAGTGTTTGAGGATACTGGTCCTGTACTTGATGTAGTATGGAAGATTGGGGGGTATCTCATTGAACCTTACAGAATACAGAGAGGCCTAGATAGAGTGGACATGAAGAAGATGTTTCCATTAGTAGAAGAGACTAGGACCTGAGGGTACAGCCTCAGAGTGAAGGGACAAGCCTTTAGAATTGAGTTGAGGAGGAATTTCTTCAGCCAGAGGGTGATAAATCTGTGGGACTCATTGCCACGGAGGCTGTGGAGCCCAAATCATTGAATGTATTTAAGACAGGGATAAATAGGTTTGATAAACTTTCATATGAGCTAACAAACAAGGTTAGAGCACATTTCTGAAGAAGGGTCGAGGCCCGAAACGTCAGCCTTCCTGATGCTGCTTGGCCTGCTGTGTTCATCCAGCTCTACACCTTGTTATCCTAGAGCACATTGAGCTAGATGACTAGTACTAGAGTGGATAGCAGGCTAGCTGCAAGACAGAATCACTATCGTGGCAAATGGTGGGGTGTGGAGTCTTATGAGGATCAGTTCAAGGACGCCTGTTATTCACAATTTATATTAGCAGTTTAGACTTTAGAATTAAAAGAAAAGCTTCTGTTCTGAAGAAGAGGTATTGGAGAGGTTGCAAAAAAATTATAAAGATAATAGCACAACTACACAGTTAAATCTGGGCGAAATTTATCATAAACAGGCAGTTTCTTTTCTATTGAAAATAAAAGGCTGAAGTATGACATGATGGAGGTCTTCAAAATTACAAAAATGTTTGCTGGAACAGACACACAGTGTTTCCACTTGTTTGGAAGAGTAAGACTAAGGACTATCAATATAACACAGTCACCTAGACATGAAACAATGAACTCTGTGAGTAATGAAAATGTAAAGCTTTATAACAGAGGAGTGGTTTAGGCACATGCTACAGTTGCATTTAAAAGGAAGCTGGATAACCATATCAGGGAGAAAAGAATAGAGGATTCTGCATATAAGTGTTAGATGAGAAAAGGCTTTAACGAAGCATAAACATTGGCTTTAACTGGGTGGGCCTGACAGCCAGTTTTTGTCTCTATTTTTCCTCTTTAAGTATTTATCTAATTGTAATTGTAAATTATTATGATTAACTATTCACGAATAGATAGGTGTGACACTAAATTAGATACTTTAAGTTGTCTTCTGTTGCATCTAGGATTTAACAATGTGAGAATATACCATGGTTTATTTGAATTGATTAAGGGATTGATTTTTTCGTTACTTTTGCAGGAAAGTGCAAGTCCTGTATGGTGGAACAGACCTATTTGACTATGAAGTACGACAAACATTTAAGAACGATATGATGCTGGCTTTTATCAGCAGTGGATGCATAGCAGTTTTGGTGTATGTTCTCACCTCATTTTCAGGTCAGCAAGCCTATTCATTTTAACCATTAATTATTTTTCCTGTGAAGTAAATTAATTTTATTCCCTTTTCTTTATCTTTACCAGCACTGCTTTGCAAAGGGTCACTGGGAGGTGCTGGAGCACAGAATTGTTTCAGTTCTAATTTTGCCCTCTTCTAAAACAAGAAGTACAGGGATGCACCAGCCTTACTAATCTACAAGCTCTCAATGGTCCTCCACATTTATCCTCTTACGCATTTATGCATTCAGCCACTTAGGCTCTAAGTTCTGGAATTCTCTCCTTGTATGGTTCATTCCACCCACCCCATCTTGCTTTCATGGAGTTGCTTCTTAAAATTCAAATCTTCAATAAGGCTTAGGTGACCTGTCCAAATATTTCTTCACGTAGCTTAGTATCAGATATAGTTTGATTACGCTCCAGAGAAATGCATTGGAACGTTTTTATAATCTTACACATTTTATTTAATGCAAGTATTTGTTGTTGATAATCTTGTGTGGAATGGAAAATACTTCAGGTCTAGCTGTTTATTTTGCAGCTTGCTCACATTTGGCCATTTTGACCATTTCAACAATCATATTTAAAGAATTTGCTTATCTCCCCTTCATCTGCCAAAATCTCTTCCATTTGTTTGTATCCCAGTACCATAAATTACTCACTGACCAAGTAGGGCAGCAGGTGACTTGACTCAAACATAGTGTGAGCAGTTCTGAGCACCAAACTTGAGGAAGTATATGTTGGCCTTTATGTGAATAGATTTAACAAAATACTACCTGAATATGACGGTTTAAATTACAATGAAAATTACACAAACTAAGGTTATATTCTGTGCAAGTTAGAAGGTGAGGTATTTGATAGTTGTAAAGATAGTAAAGGAAACAGATAGGGTTGATAGAAGAAAACTATTTCCACTGGTTAAGTTGTCGGATTAGGAGCTATGAAGTGAAAATGACAGCCATTCCTTTCAGGAGTAAAATTGGGAAATATTGCTCCTAAAAAGAGTACAATATTTTTGGCACTGATTTACGTAAATGACAATTAATGCTGGATTAGTTGTAAATATTACCTCTGAAATGGATTGTTTTTGTTAACCTTTTGTATATGGAGTTAATTGCAGGTCATTCGTGATCTCATTGAATGGCATACAAGCTCATGGGTTAAATGACCTATTCCTGTTCACATGTTTCCACATAAACTCCCCCTTGCCAAATCCTGTATGTATAAGATGAACCCATACACCCCACACCAGACAAAACTGAAAGTCTTCTGCTTTTAATAGGGAATCTTCTCATTTTCACGGCCAGCAAGGTAAACAAATTTCTAGCCCTGTACTGAGGAAGATCATTATAGGAAAAAATGTATGACAAGTACGTAATCATAGATTTGTTCTGTGGTGTTATTTATTTGTTATTCAGCAGTTGCAAATCCCCATTGTCAAGCAATAGCCTTCTCACTTCTGAGTTTAAGATGGTTAATCTACAGTTAGTCTGTAAGGAACAGTGCTTGGTAATGTAATTAGTCCACATTTAGCCTGTAACGAACACTCCTTGGTTATATGCAGCATTGCTTGTGTCTCTCCACAGGGTTCATAAGGGGTTTGTACTAAGGCTACAGAGATGGAAATTGGCTGAACAAGGACCTTGGCTTATTTTGGACCTGTTTAGCTATGGAAAGTAATACATAGTGTTAAAATCACATAAATAGGTCGTTCAGCTCAACAAATGAATACTGGTGTTTATCCTGTATATGTGTTTCCTCCCATCCTTCTTCATAGAATCATGGAATAGTTACACCATTAAAGAAGACCATTCAACTTGTCATATCCATCTAGCACCATAAGTAAATCTTTCTATTCTTTTCTTCCTCATGAGTTTATGTAACTTCTCAATAAGAGCATCTTGCCAGTTATCTCCTGGCAGTGGTAAATTGTATCCACACTCCCTGTCTTAAGAAGTTTTTCCTGAATTCCCTGTTGGATTTATGAGTGACTATCTGAAATAACTGCACAGAGGCCGGTACCCGTCACCAAATCACCCTTTATTTACTTGTGCACTGTACATTGGCTGCAGCCAGAACTGAGAGATTCTCATCTCCTGGTTATATTAGTCAGCCAGAGCTTTCCTGATTAACCCAGGTTAACAACCCCAATCAATGACCTCATAGTCAATGAGGTCAACCTGGCTCCAATCACTACACTATCTTATATTTATTGCCCTTTGTTTTGTGGTCTCATGTTGAAACGCGGGTAGAATTTAATCAGAGACAAGAACTGCAGATGCTGGAGTCAGAGACAACACAATATGGAGCTGGAGGAACACAGCCGGCCAAGCGGTATCAGAGGAGCAGGAAAGTTGACATTTCGGGTCGTGACCCTTCTTCAGGAAGACCCTTCTGAAGAAGGGTCCCGACCCAAAATGTCAACCTTCCTGATCCTCTGATGCTGCCTGGCCTGCTGTGTTCCTCCAGCTCCATTCTGGGTAGAATTAAATGCCTTGTGCTCACTACTACCTCCCCTTCCAAGATGATTTCCTCTGAAAGGCTAGTTGAGGCCCTTAAGTGGCCCCTTAAGAGCCTCATCCCACCACTGAGCTTGTTAGGTGGGACCGCTCTTTACCAGACACTTAGCCAGATTTGGGCACATACTGACTGGAAGAAAGGATCCCAGGAGAAGAATCTATCTGCCCTACAGGCTGACTCCTTCACTCCTCCCTACCCGTCTAACCCAGCAACTCCAATCCACAAGCTGTTTCCTGGAGCTCCTATGTCAATGCCTGGTATATGCCATACTGAAGAACTGGTGGTAGCCACCATGGCTTTGACAGTACTGGACAGCTGTTGTCCTCTGCTGGGCTGGCAGATCTTGGGAATGGGATTTTCACCCGCATCAGGATTTATGGGGGCTAATTTCCTTCACAGAAACTAGAATGCCTAAAGACTGTCGGATAAGTGCCCAATTAGGAGCAGTTATGCATGAGAAGGGCAGCAATTGTGATAAAACTTGTTACAGAGAACCCTGAACTGTTTCTACCTCTCAGGGTGAAGTGTGATATCACAGAAAACAGATAGATGATTAATGTATGCTTTTGTTATGTCTCTTCTGTTTGGCCAAGTGATTTAAATCAGGAGATGTTATTACATCAGAATAGTACAGTTGAGAAATTTCACTTCCAAATTATTTAAGATCCAAATTAATTAATTGATTGAATGACAATGGCCCAAACAAGTGTTGTGTTGTACCTGTAGTCTGTGGGAGCTGGTGGACACCTGTGGTGAATGTTTTCTGCTTGAGAAATTTCATCTCTAAGTTGAGCTAGAGTCCAAACTGGTTACTCTGTGACAGATCAAGGAGAGGAGGGGCACTTCGACACTGTGTTTCAAGAGGCACTCACACACTTAGATGAATTATATCAAATTTTGTCACTGACCATGGACGAGAGGGTGTGACAGTGAGTAAGGCAGTTTTGGGGAGCCAAATTTAGTGTTGGGGGACTTACAGCCAGTGCTCTTATCCAATAGGTATGAGATTCTTGGTACTGGTGTGGATGAGATCACACACTGCAGGGAGGATAAGCAAACTGATCACACCATGGTTCAGAGTACCATTAAATCGGTGGGGGTGGGGGGGGGAGCAAAGAGAAAATGGCGTAGTAATAGACAATATCATAATTAGAGAAATAGATACCATTTTCTGCAGCATAGACAGAGTCCCAAAGGCTATATGTTGCCAAGGTTCAGGACATTTATTTTGGGCTAGTGAGGAACTTGGAGTGGAAGGGGAAGAATCCAACTGTCATGATCCACATAGACGCCAGTGGCATAAGTAGGACTAGGAAAGAGGTTCTGCTGAGGGATTATGGGCAGCTTGGGGATATTGAAAAGTAGAACCACAAAGGTAACCATCTCAAGGTTACTACCTGAGCCATGTGAAAATTGGCAGAGGGTAAATAAGAGATAAATGCATTGTTAAAGCTTGGTGTGGGAGAAATGGGTTCCAGTTCATGGGACAATTGGAATCAGTACTGGAGAAAGAATGAGCTGTTCACTGGGATAAGCACCATTTGAGAAATGCTGGGACCAGTGTCCTAGTGAATCATACAACTAGGGTTGTAAACTAATTAGCAAGGGAGAGGGTTCAATTGCGCACAAGGTTAAAAATTGAAAGGAGAGAGAAATGGTAAAGTAAGACAGGAATATATGCAGAAGAGCGTAATAGAAAGTAGAACCATAAGAAGTAGTAATGGTAAAAGGTCAAAGCTAGAAAGGAGGGGCCAAGGTGCATCATCACCACTGCTGGTGAAATTTGGTAAGTTTCCTTTGACCCTTTGATTTGTTTTTGTGACAGTGCCCCACCAGAGACTGCCAAAATTGTTCAGTGTATATTTAAAAAGTAGTGATGAGAAGTGCGAGGTGGACCTCGCATCATACATTCCAGCAATGATATTTTAATTTTGATTAGTTTCCATTACTGTTTTGTAAGTTTCCATTAACCGTTTAATTCATATATTTGTTACAGTGATCTACCAGGGCCTTTCTAACCAGTTTCATAAAGTTCTTAATTAAAAGAGTAGGAAGAAGCATTGGTGGTTACACTATTGTTTAACACTGAAAATCCCTAGTTGTCCTACAACTGAACAAAACTACTCCTCATCTGGTATCCCACATGTATGCCTGTACAAATAATTTCTGAACCGAGATCAAGAACACAAACAAAGCAAAATTCTGTGGATACTGAAAATCTGAACCAAACACAGAAAATCTGTGAAGCAGTGTGAATATTTCAAGTCCAATATGACTAAGAAGAGTCATATTGGACTTAAAAAGTTAATTCTGTCTGCCCACAGATGCAGCCACATCTGCTAAGTTTCTCCAGCATCTGTTTGTTGCGTTTATTTTTGGCATATTTATAGAGGAAGTATTTGTCTATATATTATGTATATATAGAGTCTGCTCCGCCATTCAATCATGGCTGATAAGTTCCTCAACCCCATTCTCCCGCTTTCTCC